CACGGATTTTGCCGTGCTTTATATTTTCATTTTGAAAAACATAGAAGTCACATGTAGGAAATTGCCATGACAAAACATAAATACAAATGCCATGTTATTAAAAATAAAATTGTCGTACTCTTAAAAATAAATTTGTCACGTGAGAAATTAGAAAAAAAAAATCTGCCATGTACATTTTTTGAGGGGTTTGCTGGAACTTGCCATGTTACAAGTTCAAAATAAAATAAAATAAAATCTGCCATGTACATTTTTTGAGGGGTTCGCTGGAACTTACTAGACATCTAACGTTCGTCCAATAACGTTTTTCGAAGACAAAAAGACGTGTATGCCTGCGTTTCAATGTTTGTATCTATATCCAAACTCGTGAATAATAGCCATGGTATGGGAGTTCGATTCAAGACAGATTCCTCCTTGATTATTAACTTCTATATAAGCACGAGAAGCACGGAAAGCGCAGATCATCGTTCGATGATGGTGGAGCACCTCCTTGATCTTGGCGAAGATCTTATCGTTGAGATCTTGACCCACCTGCCGACCAGGTCCGTCCTCGTCGCGCGCGCCGTCTGCATCGACTTCCGCCGCGTCGCCACCAGCGCGGCCTTCCTCGCCGCCCACGCGCGCCGTCGCCCGCTGGCCCCGCTCGAGATCCTCCTCTACGACAGAACGACGACAGGCCACGTCGACGACTACGTGTACCTGGACGCTCTGTCCGTCTCCGTCCGCCATCCGGGCCGCCCGGTGCGCCGTCCGCTCGCGCGCCTCCCCGCGACCAAACCCCAGGCGGAGCTCCTGGGTGAGCAGTTCTGCCTCCCGCTGGCCTCGTGCGACGGCCTCCTCCTGCTCGGGACGGCCGTCGCCGGCCAGTACCTCGTCTCCAACCCCACCACGCGGCAGTGGGCCGAGCTCCCGCGGCTGCGCCGCCCACACATTGAGGACGGCGGCCGGTCGCTGGAGTCCTTGCATACCTCCGCGTACCAAGAGTCCGGATTCTACTTCCACGAGCCGTCCAGCGAGTACCGGCTTCTGTGTCACGTCACGATCCAAGAAGGCTTGCCCCCGGCGTACTACATCTTCTCGACCGGCGCCGACGAGCCCCGCCGGCTAGACAACGTGAAAGCCGGGAGCATCGGGGACTTCTTTTCCCCTTCTGGCTGTGACATGATAACCCCGGCGGTTCTCCGCGGGCACCTGCACTGGCTGAGGCACCCCGAGGCCGGTTCGGCCGGCGAGATGGCGGCGTTCGACACGGCGGACGAGACTTTCCGGCGGATGCCTGGCCCGCCCGTGGCCAACGAGCTCTTGGCCAGACTGCTCGTCGCGGACGGGTCGCTCATGGCGTCCGAGTTCAGGAAGCTAGCCGTGGACCTGTGGGTGCTCGAGGGTTACGCTGGCGCCGCTTCTGCATCCGCGGGAGGGACGATGTGGGAGCTTCGTCACAGCTTTGAGGTGCCGTGGCAGGCCAGAATGCCGACGTCCGCCCTGGTCGTGATCGGCGGCGACGAGGAGGGGGACGTCGTCTTGGGCACCCGCCATGGTGTGGCGGTGTACGACGTCCGGAGCAGGACGGTCAGGGCCGTCGACGTCGGGCCCGGGGGCTCTAAGGGTGTTAGACTGACGCAGCGCGCGCTAAGGATACGGGAGAGTTTGGTGCGGCACACGTTTTTCGAGACGCAACGGCATCCCGGCATTCCATCGTTGTATTGGCGGTTTTGTTCTTGTTAAGTCGCTTCAGATTTTTCAGATTGCTCGATCCATGAAGACTTAGGAATTGTTTCCTTGAGTTAAGTTAAGGGCATCTCTTATCGGATCTTCAGAAATCTCAACTTTTTGTATTGGCATTTTGGGGAGTTCAACCTTTGCTAACCCAATACTTACAACTTCTAGATTTGAGTAAGAAACACCCGTTCTCTTCAAATTCGACGCTAGCATTTCTTGTTCTTTCATTAGCAAATAGAGCCTTGGCTCAGTAGTAAGGCATGCGATTGTGCAGCCGGACCACACGGGTTCAATTTGAAGAATTGACATGTGATACTTATGGGATTTCCCCATTCTATTTCGTTGAGGACCAAGCTTGATGCATGATGAGGCCTTCTATGTAAGGCATGCAATTATGCAACCGGACCACGCGGGTTCAATTTGCAGAATTGGTGTGTGATGCTTATGGGGTTTCCCCATTCTATTTCCTCGAGGACCAAGCTTGGTGCATGGTGAGGCCTTCTATTAAGCTAAAAATCTTGGTACTTGTGACATGGTGCTTTATCTCTGATGATGGGGCATTGCTATTTGGTTCTGTAATAGCGTATTTTCTAACGAATTCTTAATTGAATGACCTAATTTTTTTTAGACTCAGAATTACTTTTTACACATATAATTGTACTAATCTTAAACATATATTTTAGCAATTGATATTTGTTTTTGCGAAACACAATATAAACAAGGCGTTCACATACAAGTGCATACCCTCATATCTATAAATGCACAGATGCCATCATCCCTCTATGAGAACCTTCGAGAGACTCAGCCGGTAGGTCTTGAGATGCTCTTCACATGTTGGTCTCACTCATTCAATACAACTAAATAGGTCATCCCCACTATCTCAACTAGTAGAGCGCCCGTGCGTTGCCACAGGCCAACAAATGTATCTATCACGAGCCCCTCAACTTCAACTCTTTGATCATTGTGTTATTATTATTTCGCTATATTGTCACGCCGCCAGCACCCTCTTGGCGCCTCCTCCTACCGCCGCTGCCGCCGGCGTGGGCCGCGATGGCGGCGGGCCCGGTGCCGAAGGTTTTTGGGCAGGTGGATGCAGCGGATCCCATCTGAGGCGGCGGGGGCGGCTCCTCTCGTGCGATCCAACGGCAGCGGCTGGGACGGCGAATCCGGGTTGTGCGGCGGGGGCCGGAGCACCATCACCGGCGGAGCGGCGGCCCTGCATGGATGGCGGCGGTGGCAGCGCCCCATCTGGCGGGGTGGGCTGTCCTGGTCGTGATGGTGACGGCGGTCACTGCGGATCCAACACCCTGTTTGAATCGGTCGCGGGGAGGCCTTCCGTCGACCGACGGTGCGTGGAGGGACCGGTGAGGAGATGTCGGATCTCCGCTGGAGTACCGACCGCGACATACGTCTTCGTGGTGAGGTTCCGCTCGGTTCCAGCCAGCCGCGAGGTCAGGAAGACATGGCTTCCGGTGAAAATCGCGCCTGACTGCGGTCTTGGCGGACGATGGCGGTGTCTCAGACGTCGTTCCCTTCTGGAGGCATCGTCGTTGCAGGTCACATCAACTTGATTGGGAAGCTCCAGGGGAAACCCTAGACTTGGGTCTACCGGATCGGACGATGACGGTGCCTTCGGTTTCGTTCTCCCTCATGGGGGCATCGTTTTGGAGCAAGTGCTGGTTGGAGGGGACAAGAGGAGGAGCGGTGATTCATCTGGTCCATTGATGACGGTGGATCTCGGCGGCGTGGCACAGTGGAGACTTGATGCCTGATGTGCGGAGATGGACTCGCGCAAGAGGGTGACGCTGCCTGGTGCCGTGGTGGCTCGGCGGCAGCTAGACCGAGCAAGGTTGATGCAACAGTACAGCTCTGAAGATGGATTGGTGGCAGGTGGTTGCGGCGGCCTCATACCCGGCAGGCGTCCTGGTTGAGAAGCGCGTCGGACTGGTGGGTGCCCATACCCGGCAGGCGTCCTAGTTGGGACCTCAAGTCTTAGACGTTAGGTTTGGCTGCTAGGTCTGTTTGGTATTAGGCCCAGACTTTCAGCGCCCCTACATCAACTGGATAGGGATAGCGACAAATGTTGCTTAGTTGGTGGCTTTAGGCTTATTGTTGTATGACTCTGTAAGGTCTTGTGTCAATAATTAATAAAATGGCCGTATGCATCGTCCAGATGCAGAGGCCGGGGGTCGTCCTCCTTTTCTAAAAAATAAAAAAATGTTGTCACCTCTCTTCAAATTCACCCGCATTGCCTCCAAATCTATCGAATTGTTGAGTCCCATCATCCCTAACACATGGACTAATAGATGAACATGAGCCGCTTGGCTTCACCTCTGCATTGTTACCCGACTTAAATTCGCATTTGTTTTTTCTAGGTTCGCCAAATTGCCATAGGCATTCCCATCATCCCTAACTTCGAAGGTCTTCCGACATTCATCATCAATTCCCTCCTAAAAGTTCTGACATACGACTGCATCCAAGGCATCGTTTCGCTGGGAAAGGATGAGTGAACCGTTAGGTGTACGGACTGGCGACTGCGCTGGCGACCGCGTGCTTTCGCCGGTAAGGGCTGCGGGCGGGGCTGCCCCGGCAGGGTGGACCTTGGTGAGCCGCGGGGCGGGGTCTCCCCAGGTGCGCTCGTCGGTGGCGCATGCTGGGGCATCACCGGCGGGGGCTGGGACCTGCCACAATCGTTTTTGGGCGCTGTCGGTGGAAGCTTCTGAAGAACGACGACGGGGACGAGCTCACGGAGCAGATGCGTGCGGTGCCGGTGGGCCCGTCGATTGGGGACTTCGTGGCCTTCGCGGCGGACGCGCGAGGGCTGGGTGCCGAACGTAGGCGGCGTTTTGCACCGGGAGGGCGCGGCCACAGGTCCACGGCGTTGCGCATTTGGCAACCCTCGTCGGCTCGGTGCATGGCCGCCAGCGAGGCGGGGGCGACTGACGCGGCTCGTCACATCAGATCCATGGCGGCGACGAGCTTGGTGGTGGACAAGGCGGTGCCGTCCAGGAAGGACTGGCCGGGCTTGACTGCCCCCTCGTCCGCGGTGGCGGCGGCGGCGACGGGGGGTCGGGCGAGTCCGCAGTCCCCGCTGATGCCTAGGGTTGGTGCGGGCGGGCCGTGCTCTGTTGGGCCTGGGCCGGTGGGCTCGTCTGGTAGTGGGCCGGGCGTGTCTGCCGGGTCGGGACAGGAGTTTGTCCCAATATCGCTTCCGCATGGGCCCCCAAGGCCCGGTCCGCCATGGCCTGCCTCGCGCCCGGTCTCTGGCTATATATGGCTGAGACGCGGCTGCCTGGACCCTAATTTAGGGTCTCCAGCCACTGCTAGTGAGGTGCGGCGCCTCGCTCACTCCGCCCGCACACTCCAGATCTCACTCCCTCCTCCCCCTCTCCATAGATCCTTTTGCGGCGGTGGTGATGGGAGATTGGCGCGCGGACAAGCGCCCCATGGAGGTCTCAGATCCGGAGGCGGAGCGGCATCGTGAGCGCGAGCTGCGCGACAAGGCTAAGAGGGCGATGCGGGAGCGGTCGGATGGTCGGGAGGCCAGGGCCGAGCGCGGTGGTTCCCGCGACCAGGGCGGGCGCGAGGGGGATTGGGGTCCTCCTCCCCCGTGGTGGATTCAGCAGCAGGAAAGAAAGAAAGAAGAAGAAGGTTAACCAGCGACGGCGCGAGCTTGAGAAGAAGCCGGAGGCGCATCCTTACTGTGCTGGGGGTCATGGTGAGTCGCTGGCTCAGAAGCAGCGGGCGGCTGAAGATCCATTGGCGGTTTCCTTCCCCTCCTCCTCCAAGGGCACGACGGAGGAACCCATTTCGGTGGAAGAAGTGCCCGATGTGGAGTGCTTCAAGTGCGGCTGCCTCGGGCACTATCAGTCCAAGTGCAAATTCCTTCCCCTGTGTGTGCTGTGTAAGGCGGCGGGACATGCGTCTGCGCACTGCCCGACGAGGGGTCGGCAGCTGCAATTGCAGATCATGAGGAGCGCTATCGCCGGTGAGGGCTTCTTCTACTTGGAGTTCGATGAGGAGGCCGAGGGCGAGCTGCCAGTGGATGCACGGATTGAAAATGCGGCCATCCTATCGGCTGAGCCAGGGCGGCTCAACCTCCGCATCCTCAAGCAGGAACTACAACACATGGTGACCGGATCTTGGGATTGGCAAGTGACACAGGTGGGCGATAATGATTTCCTGGTGGTTTTCCCTTTCGCAGATCTGCTTCACATGGCGAAAACGAGTGGGAAACTTTTTCTGTCAATCAATGACATCACGACATCGGTTCGGGATATGCTTCACGAGGAGGTGCAGCCAATGGCCATGCCAGAGACTTGGGTTCAGTTGCACGGCATCCCAAAGAAACACAGGCGTGAGGATCGCATAAGGGAAGGGTTCCGGATGCTTGGTCGCCCGATTGTGGTGGATGAATTGTCCCTCATCAGGATGGGGCCTGTCAGGATGAAGTTAGCATGCAAGGCTCCGGAGAAACTGAATGGATTTGTGGAAGTGTAGTTCAATCATGAAGGTTACCAGATCAAGGTGGAGCGCGAGGTTCTGCCCAAGCGCAGGGGAGATCGTGTGATGAATGGTTCTGATCCTCCCAACCCCCCGCCAAAAGACTCTGCGGGTCACGGTGGAGCTCGGCCATTGGGTAGCGCTCCGCCTAAAGGGGCCGCCCCTGGTAATGAACCTCAGGGAGAGGACCGGGCGCCTGCCAAGGCTTCTGGCGGCGACACCACGATGCAGGATACGGGCGAAGAAGGGGATGACAGCCAACAGGACTACTCTATTGACACGAAGACTTGGGACAAGCTGGGAGCGATGTCCATTGATTCGGGGGCCTTGGGTGTGGCGACCCAGGACACGGCGGTGAGTGTGCCATCCCTGGCTAGATCCCTGACGCTATCCTTTTTAACGAGTACGGATCCAACATCCCGGCACTGGCACGGGCTCAGACGGAGACTCAAGATGTGGTTGGGGCCATCGTGGTTGCGGACCCGTTGTCTTCCCTTCCTGTG